TCCTTCAGCTGCCTCTAAGCCTGACAGGGACAGTGACCCCGACAAATCAAACCATCCTACATGTTTATTTCAAACACCAATAATTGTTTTTGTAGATCTTTTCATCATAAGAGCAGCTTACCTAATTGCCACTCATTCAAATGCAGGATGTTTCAATCCAGCTGGTGTAGTTTCTCCAAAAAAATCCATTTTTTTGCACAACCGTTGCACAATTTCCACAGTGAACTTGTGTCGTAGCTAAGCTCAGATAAGCTTGATGTATTTCTTGAATAACTGCACAAGATTTCTCAGAGTTTCTAGATGTCTAGCATTCAAGTAAGCTTCTCTAAACCTGTAGTAGTTCAGATGCTTTGGTGAAAGGGATTCAGCAGCTGCAAAATCCCTTGTTGGTAATATTTCTGCTAAAATTTCCAGATTATTTTACCTGGATATGGTTAAAATATGATGTTTTGAGCCACAACTTATAAACTTTCAAAGAACAAAACCAAGAAAAATTTGACAGCTTGTAAAGTTTGGTGCAACATAGAATTTGAAGGCTATGTTGGCCTAGTTCATATAAAATGATTGTAAAATGAAGGTCTTCTGCAGAATTAACATCATCTTATTACCTGAATTACATTTCATATTCTTGAAAAAAAAAACCTTGCATAGGAAAATTTGTGACAGGTATATTGACTATTGTCTTGAATTTTCTAACAAAGCACTCAATTTGGTTTGATGTTTTTCTTGATACCAAGTATTGAGAATAAATGCAGCTTGATTTTGTAAATTGGTAGTGCTCTGTTCTCGCGAGAAGAAATCAATGACACTCAGTTGAACCGGAGTGAATAACTCTAACTTTCCATAAGTATTATCCTCCCAAGGTGCTAAGTCTGCATTATTGAGTCTGATATTTCCGAGGATGGGAAGACGGTTGTGTGGGGGGTTGAAGATGATTTCCAGCAGCCATTTGAATAGGTTTCGTCTTCTTTTGATTTTCTTGTTGCTGTTCAGGCGCAAACGCTCGAGGATTTCCACATGGATGTAATTGATGCCTCGGATTAATCTTTTGAAAAAAATACTCAATTCTTCCAATTGAATTACTTCTCTATGGTTTTGAGAAAGCATTCGCAGGACTCCATAGCCTGGTGAATTGTGGAGGAAGTAGATAGACATCGACAATCGAGGATGTAGGCCCATATTTTGATTCCTCAGATTTGGCTGGGTACTACATGCCTGGCTGAAAAACGAGATGCTCAAACTCATGAGGTCATCGTTGGGAGCTTTATACCGTTGCTTGAAGAGCGGATCGAAGCGCTCGTTCTGCCTTTCCGCCAGCCTCAGAAGAAATATTCTAGTTTCCTCGAAATGGGGATCCGTTGCGCGAATTTGTGTTGACTCTCTTAAAGGTAGATCTAACGTTGGATAATGTACTGATGGTTTACCATCAGTCAATCACCCAAATGAATATGACGAACAAGTTTATCAGAAATACAATCCATTCGATTGAAAAACTCAGAAAAGCATCTCCCTAACTTACGTGACTGATGATCTTTGAACATGTCTATCAGGTTGAAGGCGGTTGAGAATACAAACAGATCATCATTTCTATATCCGCAAAAAAAGTGAATCAATTCTAACTTGGCGCGCCCGAGCGTGTCTTTATCTTCCCATCTTTTTCGAGTGGACTGCTTGAGTCCAATGAGCGGAGCACCGTCGAAATACGTGAACATCTCGGCATGGAGCCAGTCAAGCATCTTCTTCTGCTGTTGATAGATTAACTGTGTTGGGATGTCCAAGTTGTTCAATAGTCGTTCGTGGATCTTGTAGATCCATTTGATTAACCTTTTGTGAAGTACGATCATGTTATCAGCCGGCTGTACCAAATGATCGGAATAGCGAAGGATCCTTAAGACGAAACCTGGAGTCGCGCTAGCTGGATCAACCTTCCCGTAAGGTAAACCATAGTAGAGTATCTTTTGACCAGCACCGGCCGCAAATTGATCTAAAGCTACCATTCCATTGAAATTGTCTTGGTATTGATTCAAAAGTAAAATAGAAAGCTTTCCTTTTCGCGATAAGGCACGGGGTCCAGTTTTTGACAGCTCCGAGTACAAACGTCTGGTATTGAGTGACCTTTGCTCCGATTGGCGTTCTGCCAACGTAATTTCGATGCTATCTGACGGGTGATCCAACGCTTTTTCAATATCGGATAATTGTCCACGCTCATAATGGCGTCTGCCGTAACTGCTGATCAGAGACTGGCTTGTGATTGGCTCAGTCACAGGATATTCCTCGATATCTTCTTCTGCGGATACCAAATCCAATTTGATTGATTCATAAAAGAAAGAGTGGTATTTTGGCTGTTCAGGTAATCCAGGTATTGAATGCGAAGGCAAGGAATAAGTGCTCACTGAAAGGGCTTGTTAGTAATCCTGGGTTGACCGCTGGACCAGGAGTATTAGTTAAATTAGGATTTGATGTAGGAGCAGCTACTGAATGGTCATTTTGATGTTTCTTTGCCAAGGGCTCCAGCCCGCGGTGCTCCTCAGCGAATTTCTTCGCGTCTAGAAATATTTTGCTGAGCAGCAGTCTTCAACATTCAGGACAAGGGAAAGGCCACTTACTGAAAGCACTAGATGCGGGATCTAGAGTGTACGATGAGCCGGCAGAGGTACTTGAAGTTGGATTAGGATTGGACGTAGAATCCTTCAATTGACCATTATACTTGCGCTTTCTTTCGACTGGTTGTGGGTCCAGGGAGACATCTTTGAAGAACCTATGTGTTGGAGTTGAAGAAGGGGCTAAAGCCGGACTAGCTGGCGATTCTGATTGTACGCCGGTGGAGCCGGAGGGAAGAGAAATTTGATGGGAATCCCAGTCCGATTCAGGCTTGATACGGTGACCGGGCCAGGACTCGGAGGGCGGTATGGACAATATTTCAGTTGGCCGCACTTCAGCCGGACCATTCTCCCAAAATCTGGAGTTAGGCTCGATTGCATGGGGTGCCGATACATGAGCAACCAGGCACGATGTGTGGAAAAGAAACCGCGAGGCCTTCAGATAGCCTGCCAAAAGATACATCGGTCAGCTTGGGGTAGGGGAGCAAGTACGTTTGTTGAGAGAGGCTGGGTCACTGATGCTCGGAGTGTCAGCTGAAGTAGCTGCAATCGGCCCGATGCCTGTGAACACGAAACATGGTGTTGTCCATGAAGTTCACATTTCATCTTCTTTGGGTATGGGCCATCGCTTCTATGTATAACCGACCGCCAATATGGAACATGTGTCGATGATCCATCAGCACCAGGTAAATAAAACACAACCCCCCCCCCCCTCCCTCCAAAACAATTTCTACAGAGAAGCTAGTAGCAAGGAGAACTCGAAAGGAAGAACCGCCGAGCCGCACCAAGTGTAAAGTGAAAAGACACTGGTGCTGTCTGGCTGGTTGCAGGTGAGAGCTTTGAAACATTGGTGAAGTTTTTATCCTGTGCCCCTTCTAACTGCCTTCCTCCCCGGTCATGCCTATGGGCACCGGTCTGCACCGGTGGCAGACCGGTGCCTGTGGGATACAGTGAGGCAGGACCCAACATGATTGGCTGGGTTGAAGGTATCCCGGTTTAGCTGGGATGCACACAACCAAGTTAAACTTGGTTGGATTTGAACCAATGATCCAACCAAGTTTGACTTGGTTGAGTCACGAGTGCATCCCAGTTTAACTGGGATCCCCTCAACCTAGCCAATTATGCTGGCAGTGCAGGAAAAATCCAAACTTTCCTGAATTTAATGGTGGGGCCCACTCCTTGGGTGTTCTTCAAATGTCCCTAAGACCAGGAATTTCCAGTGATACCATATGGGAAAATGGCTTCACTGATCAACCCATAAACCATTTCAAGTAGATGTTTCCCTCAACTGCTGGAGCAGGTAAACAAGTCTTCAATTTTAATGACTCAGATCTACTCAGATAGTGCATGAAAGCCCAGACATTTCCCGCTTTGGGATAAAATTTGCAGTTGACTCTTGGCTATTTTTCCTTTTCAAATTACTTCTTCAAAAAATTCAGGGTGGGTTCCACAAGAGAATAAATGTACCAAGAAAACTTCTCCAGGCACCTGTGGATCAAAAATCCTGACATGTTGTGTACAAGTATTACAATATTATTGGTCTTATCAATCTGCATATTCCAGGTGAGCAATACCCTGGTTGGACCAATTTGAATTTCACCATCCACAGTCCTGTGTATGCAAAATTTGATCCAGGCAGTCCAAGAAAGAGTCCTGTGGACTATAGGTGAATCTTATTTTTTTTCTGGACAGATTTAACCTTCCATGAGATTCCTCAAGACTCTGAGAAGGAAAATTGGACCATATAAACCAATCCATAGTACACCTAAATTCCCCATGACTCTGGCCCCCAGGTTTCCAGATCAGTCTAGATGTATGTACTTCCAATGCACACCCTAGCCAGATTCCCCTGGCCTCTTGTTTCTTCTTCAGTCCAGTCTGTTGGATAAGATTTTTCACCCAGATTCAGATTGCACAAGAATGTTGATGGGCTGTGGATCGCTACAGGAAGACTAGACTGAAAATCACGATGAGCTATTCTGTTCTGGTTGGACCAATGTTAACAAAAAGAACTCCTATTTTTGTCAAAAATTATGCTTCTCTAGCTCTTGCCATAATATAGTTTCTTTGCCAATTCTGATTGATCAAATTATCTTTTGCTTTTATTTTATTTTTTTGAGTTTTGTATGTTTGATTGTCTGCACAACTTGGTTTTGTTAAATATTTACCTGGTTGACACTTATTTGAAGTTATATAATTCAATCTAACTATTGCTCTCTGAGACTTTGGGTTTCTGGTTTTGAATGACACAGTTGTTGTTTTTATCTATATGAATTGAGATTCAAGGCTACCTGATATGTCCTGCACTTCTGTGGGCCTGGTGGCTGGCTGGTGCCACTTGCAAAGGAAGCCTCCAAAGGAGGGACTTGTGCCTGATACGCACATGGTGTGTCACTATTGACCTTTTTTTGGTGTGGCAATTCTTGGATCAGCCACCCTAGATGTAATTTAAGTCTGTTTGGGGGCAGAGTCACTATGGCCAAAGCTGACCATGTTTTGGTTCTTCTCATCCAATCTTTAGAGATATTTTGTGAAAATCCAATGAGTAAGATGTTTTTTTAAAAATGTGTAATATTGGAAATTCCAAAAATTGAAGTTGAGCTCCAAACTTCAAGAGGTGCATTATGTAAGCATAAACGCAGATTCAAGTTGAACCTCATCAGTGATTACAAAATTTTTCTAGCATGTATTTGTCCATATTTCTGGATGACCCAAAAAACACAATTACAACACACAAGCATATTTGCTTTGGTCACAAGCCTCTCCCACACTTTGTGCAGTAGATGGAGAGGCTGAGCAAGCTAGGATCCAAGGTGACAAGCATACCAATCACATTCCTCACAAAACATTTTCTGAAGCTTTAAGATTAAAGGGATCAAATTCCCACCCTAGCTACATGCCCATCAGGTGATATTGGACAAACCGTTTTGCAAGTGAAAATCAGTATGCAGAAACAGTGGTCAAGGACCAAGGCATCCACTAGACCCAGATACTGAGATACAAATGCTAGTATATATATGTATACACTAGTGTTAGTTTATTCTATTTTTTCGTCATTGGTGAACCTGCTTCAATATGGAGGAAAGAAGTGAAAAGAAGAACAAAAAAGACGAAATAACAAGATTGAAGAAAGCAAGACAAGCTAATGTTGAGAATCAGAACTCAAAAGGAAAATTTCTAGATATTTATTTTTTGTTTTAATAAGCATGACACTATTTACAGGAAGGGGGAATTATGATGGGGGTAGAGATGGTGGGAAGGAAAGAGAGTAGCTTTTCATAAGAACTGCAAGGGAAGAAAAGGAGCGGGTCAGAATATCGGATCTGGATTAACGAGAGACCATAAGCATAAAGAAATAAAGAGAAATTACCAACCTTTCCAGTCCTAGAATGAGAAGCAGCACCGTTTGAGCTTCCTCCCTTCATCCGGTTTTGAGCTCCATAAACAAAGCTGTCAAGCAAGCCAGCAACCGTCAAAACTCCACCGACGATCGCGCATGTGGATGTTGCAAAATGGGCAAAGGATTGTCGATACTCTTGATGGACGACTTGCATGGGCGAAATCTCATCTGAATACAGATAAGAAATCATAATTTGAAGTGAGCATAGTTTGTTCTTGCTGCATTTGCTTAATAAGCAAACTGTTCTTTTGGAAAATCACTCAACAATTGAAGAAGACTCCTGGTACACCACTGTGACCATGACTTGTGAGATGTCCAAGCTCGTCGGCATCACTCTTGTCACTATTGTCAAGATCACGTTCGTACTGAGTGACGCTGTACTGGTGAGTCTTGGCGACCTGGCCGTCCAAGAGTTGGAACTGAGTTCCGACGACCTTAAGAAAGTATTGGAACATGTAATTACCTGTGGCACAAGAGGTCAGTGAGAAGCAACAGCAACAACATCGAGGAGGCATAATGTTTGAGACAAAAAGGGAATCACTGAACTTGCTTCGGTGTGAGCTTTGACACCATCTAGGGGATTCACAATTCCTAGCGTTTTCTTCAGGCGCAGTGTATGTGCGGTCTCTGTGGGTTGATTGGCATCCATAAATGCGAAGTTGTGGATGACGTGTCCGAAATCATGGAGATTACTGTCCTGGAGATATGGTACTAAATCGTGGACATGGACTTGATGTGTTTGAAATGAACGACCTGGAGAGAGGTGAAAATTCCCGATTCTGATCGATCAGAGTGATGAATGAAGTAATCAGTCAATTAAGGAATACTTTGATAGTAGAAACGTTCTAGAACAATAATGGATCAATAAAGAAATGTCTTGCCAAATGAATCAGCTCACACTTTGTTTACTTTGAGCACACCGTTAATGTTACAGCCTTCCTTAGATTGTTCCTTAATCCTTTCCGACCAGTGCTCCTGCACACACTGTTCAGCAAAAATAGACGAATAAATGGGTCAGTTTATGCAAGGGCCCATCCAAGGGAAAGAAGGTTAAAAAATCAAACCTGTTCGATCCCATCAGGATTGTTAAAACTCCATCCCCTCCGGACGTAACTCTCTCGAACTTCTTCACAGCTATTACAGCATCCTGAAGGCCCAGGTTCACCGCCATAGCATGAGCCGCAGTCTGATCGAAGAAAGAAAAAAAAAATGTTCAGGCTAAGTGGCCGGCAATTTAATGAGAATGGGTTTTGAGTGATCACCAACGAACAATCCTTTGCTCGACTGGCAATGATCGTTTCCAGTTCACCCTGCAGTTCTGGCCAGAGATGGAAGGTGGATTTGTTGAATGGTCAGTTGGTTTTTTTTTTTTCATAGTAGAGTTCTGTCAAGATGACCATAGTTATGCTCGATGAGATCGGCTTGTACTTTGTGTAGTGTTGGTAGAAAGAGGTACACCGTCCAGGCCGAGTCGAGTTTTGGCCAAATCATGCGCCACGTCTGCGAGAGAGTGCCCAGCAAGAAACATCCAATTAAAACGGGAGTGATTTGTGTATAGAGAAAGATCTGGCCTAACCGTTTTGATGTTCTCCACTAATATCCATCACGTCCACACTAAGCACTATGATAAAAGAGAGCTCAGCCTTAGTCAATCACCGGAATCCAGATGAGAAAACCGCATGAAAGCCGAGGAAAAAACTTGCAATAACAGGGCACTCGTGGAAAGGTGATATTCATGTGTACCAACAACTTTTCGCCCCTACTTTTGTCGACCAGAATTGATGGCTGGACATGAATTTGACGGTAATCTCGAAATTCTACTAGGATCAGGGTGAAGATTAGTGCGGCTGAAGCCATGGTCACTGCGGGTGTGATAGTAGGCCATGTCAAATGGAGATTGAATGATTAGATCGGCTTGGCTTTTCAAAATCCTCGAACCATGGATAGTTTTTTTGATTATTTTGTTTTTACTAACACATTCCACCAAAACCAGTCTTCACTTTGACATCTTCCATTGTCTGTTGATGACGACAAAGTAAATAAATAAATAAAATCAGCTAATATCAGCAGGATATGTGAGAATAAATCTGAAATCAAATTTGGAGCCGTACCTTTGAGAAGCCATCGAGTCCCTTGAAATAACCTCCAAACTGCCCATGGCGACCCATGATGTGAAGGAGACGGAACCAAGACTTCCAACTGATATCTATATATTCAAATTGAACCGCTCCACGGGACTGTTTCTGGGTATGAATTCGAGCTAATAGGTAAGCTGGGCGTTCGTGTGTGATCGGACTGGAGAAGATTGGTCGTTGTTGATATTCCTGATTGAAAAAACCAGTCGGATCGTGGAAGATGGGCGGAGAATTCCTGGTGGTCGTCAATGAGATCTTCAGCTGCAAAATTCGGGTGGTGCACCCAGGTAGATGTATCTAGGCCCCCCTCGCCCCACTCGGGGGCGCAGCGCACAGCCCCTGTCAAGTACTGCACCGTGGAGGGGCAACAAACCGGTAAAACGGGTTTAGACAACTGTAAGGGCCTGTACCATACACATGGAAATTCAGTTTTTCAAGATTTATCTTGCTCAAAAGTGACTGTGAGCAAAAGCCAGTGGAGGTCGGATCTGGGACCCTCCCAGAAGTCGATCTAGACCCAAAAATTCTTGATTCTTGCAGAGAAATTTGAATTTTGAGGCTCTAGTCCGGCTCTGGGAGACCTGCAGATCTTGATGGGAAGTTTTCCAGTGTTTGTCCTGAAAGTGAAGAATTTCAACAATAGACATCTCCAACTGTTCCCAATGTTTGTGTAGAAGACAGAAAAGATGACAATTTTTCAAGATTGAACCCTACAGTGGAGGACTTCCCGTCGGGATTTAGAGAGCTTTTTAGACTTCTCTTATAAGTTCTAAATCAGCAACCCAATTAAGATTCCAACCAGCTCACATGCAAGCCATTGCTAGCGGGCTTCAGAATAACCAATTTTTTTGATGAAAAAATTAGATCTAATGGGTGTAAATTCAGGGTGTAAGTGGGCCGGGTTTGGGCCAAAAAACCGTGCCCAAATCCAACCCGACATAAGTCTCGGGGCGGGTTGGGTTGGGACAGAAAAGGAATTCTGCTGCCCGAATCCGAGCCCGTCTTGGGATGTTTTGGGTTCGGGTTGGGCAGTGTTGGGTCTGGGCCAACCCGACATATTTGGTCAAAGAAAAATGAGAGGAAGAATATCATGCTAATTTTTTTTTCATCATCAAAACACTATGGACATGTATATATAGGGCTTTTTTGAGATAAAAAGATAAAAAATAGAAACAAGTCAATCAATCATGTCGGACATGGAGATGAGAATCGAGGATGGGGGTTGGGGGGTTAGGTGTATAAGTCCAACCGGGATGGGAACATCCGT